GACAAGCGCGCATCATGATCGCATCTCCGGCCTCCCAGGGATCTCGCGACCTCTACGATCCTCTCCATGGTATTAGCGTAAGTATACTCACGATAACCTGTTGGGCCCTCCTATCCTGCCTTACACGCCTTCATCAGCATGACGCTTATCTCCTGCACATTTTCCTCCCTTAAGCGACAGTTGTTTTTTCTCCCCGAAAACCGTCAAATCGCATTCAAAATCTCTGTAGTCCCCAAAAAGTGCGAAAGGAGTTTTTTTGCCGTCTGCTCTTTTTTGGTTTAGTTCCACCTAATGACCCGTGCAATTGGCATTGCCGATGAGCCCAGATACTATATTAAGTTACTCGCACCGAGTGAGTAGTCGTATATACTTACAATTTTTCCGGTGACTGACCGCTGCTCACTTTTTGCCTGCAATTATTTGACCAACCACCATTTGGATTTTTCAACTGAATCGATGAATTTTCAGTCACTATGTCACAAATAGGGAGCTCAAAGGCGTTTACCTATGTTTCCCTCAATAAAAAGTGAACTGAACTGAACGTTCACCGATCGCTAACGGAACACATTCATCCCTTTCTGCCTTTGGGTTCATTCCCGAGCCCCACCAGCAACCGTAGTAGTAGTCTAGACAGTAGTTTGGGGGTGGGGGCTAATAAACCAGACATGAGTAGGAATAAACCTATTGTCCCAGCGATCGAGTCTTCTTCTTTTTCTCAAACCAGACATGGTTTTGCCGACAAAGCTAGCTGTGCGGCTGGGGACGAGGCTGCAGAATGAGTCCCAAGGCACAGAAGTATGAGTTCCATTAGCGATCTGTGAACGGTAATCAACCAGTGATAAAATGCCCGTTAGATATACTGAAGGTGTGCAGACAGTGATGTCTGGACTCTGAAGTTTTTACCCTGATCGGCAAGACCTGAGTCATTTTGGTAACTAGGACGTTAGCTTCTAGAATTTATCATATTGACTTTTGGTATATTAAAAATTTGCATATTTAAAAGCTTTATTTCGTTCTTATGTGCTTTTGGTCGAAAATACGCAATTCCATGAGATTTTTGAAGTTGCCGATGCAGAGCGAACCAGTGACGACCAGTGTACGCAGCTTCCCAAGGCCATCCAAACATTTGCTGACTATTACTAATATCCGCAGAAGTTTTAAATGCCGCATTGGCTGGGCATTCCATTCGAAATTTCTCCTTTCTGAATAAGATGGGTGCGCGTGTCAAGGAGGCCGTTTTCTTTCGGCATGACAACTAATTTATTTTTATATTTCTGACTCTCTTTATTTTCCTGTTCTTTTCAATATCCTATTTTGATCTCTTTGCTTTTCAAATCTTCCCAAACGCAATATCAGAAGGTAAGTTTACACTTTTTTAATTTCTTTTAAAAATAAAGTTTAGTTTGAATGAGGGCGGCGTTCATCGCAAAAACGAGCAACTTTGGAATTAGCTCCCTGCAGTAGCTCTTAAACAGTCCTGATGAAAAAATACACGTTATTAGTGGTGGGATTGAGGTTGAATGCTTAAGACTATGTGGGCATTCGCCTCTCTGCCATGTAGCCCAGTAGTCGTGGTGTTATGGTAAAACCATACAATATTCACGACCACCGGCTCCCCTCTAAACGCCTGGACCATGTGCTCTATGGCGGATTCAGTTCGGTTAGGTTAAATTATGTTTTCAAGGCCTCCTAAATGTCCGATAATAACTGCGGGGTTCGAAGATCTGGAAATCTCACAAGATAAACGAGTCTATCGAAGGTAAAGCATAGTGTCATGATAGTAAGTGCTGCATGTGTGAAATGTAACAGCATTTCGGCCTGATAGTGGCCACTGAAAAATCGGGATGGATTAGATTTCTGCGCAAGCTGTCAAATAACTCAGCTTAAGGCAACGTTTAAAAATTGAATACGAATATATCTCGAATAAATACGAACCCGTGTGTTAATTCGATTTCGTGTGCGGCAGAGAACCTCCTTTGGCTTGGCCAGCACCTCGTGTGACGAAACAGTCTTTTCGCTTGCAGCATCAGGAGGCTGCATCACAACTAACCATAAGTTATCGCCTTTCCACGAGTAGAAAGCCCGGATAGCATCGATAGCCGTTAGTGGTTTCTCCTCTTGAATCGCTCCTCGCGGATATTTTCTTCCGCGATTATTGTCCATTATCCGCCTTGCTCGTGCCCTCGAGGTGATAAGTGGTTTCGCATCGTCCTGCTGCTAAAGTAATGCAAGAGAACGGTGAAAACGGAAAAATTAATATAATCAATCCGCTCAGCAATTGTTCCACTTCTATTTGACGTCAACGGTTAGGCTGGTTGATTGGGTTAATTATGTGACACACATTTTTAACAACATTTTTTTTCCACTAATAAAAGTATCAGTAGTCATTGCACTGTTTCCTTTTTATTGCCACCTCTAATCACGCTGCACTCTCGAACACGTTAGGTACAGGCAGAGATCTGTGGACAGAATTACCAGGTCTATAATTTCTGATCGAATTTCTGAGTACATTAATTCCACTTAATGAAAAACACGACACTGTTTAGCAAAATGTTCCTTGAGGGATAAATTACCTTCGCAAATTCGTGATCTATTCTCAAAAGGTCAAAACATAACTATAAGCACATGTTGAGCCTGTCCTCCTTCCTTTGTTTTCGATCATTCTTATGCGACCAAATGACCTCATCAACTGCAAATTTATTTCTTTACGAAAAGTAAAATACAAAAATTATAATAAGCTAGAAAGTGTTCAAAAAAGGCTACGAAAACCGTTAAAATTCAAAATTATTTTACCCTACGATTGCAGACTTGATGCGTTTAAGCGATTTCCTCTTCCGTACAGACATTTCTGAGGAGGTTTTATACAGACCTACCGGAGATTGAGGAACCGGAACAGTTTACTGCACTTTGACTGGTTCTTCTCACTGGCCACTGAATCTTACCTGCGCACGAGGCCCCTCAAATTGCGGGGAGGCTTATCCCATCTGGATGCTCATCACCACTCGTCTTCACAATGTATTATCGGACTTCCCGAGGACGTTATAATGGCGGACCAGACGGAGGCATTTAAGCATAGACTTAAGGCATAGTTACGTTAAAGATACCGTCTGTCTGGAGAATAAGGCTCAGATTTAACATACCAAAACTTTTCTGATACCTATAAATCACGCTAATATCCATCATTTGATATATTTTCCCCTTTCTTTTTCAGGATGGCCTTGTTACAAACATAGTTCCTCGATGTAAATATGGTACTTTTGATTTTATAGTAGCATGTTTCTTTTAACTTGATTATTTTAGAAGTTTTTAATAATGTCTTCAAAGGCAATGCCTACTATCCTTGGTATACCGAAATATACTAAATCAAAGATACATATACCAGAAGAGGATTTGGCAAGCATACGTAGTTTTCGATAAATTCTCCTCGAGCTATTACACTTATATAGAAAAGGGTAAAAGGCAACCCCTATTCCCATTACTAATTTACCTGCAATCATGAACATAATTACCCGCGTGTTACCTATTACCACCTTCCTATATACATGTAATGACCCGAGGAGAATTTATCGAAAGTTACGCATGCTCGCCAAATACTCTTCTGAATTGCTTGATGGGAATATTTGCAACTTTAACGCATATAACAGTCAACATTTTCTTGAAAATGTTCACTTTGATACTCTTCGATATACCTCGTATAGAAGAAATGCATAAGTAAAGCTAGCCATTTCTCAATGTGAATTCCATGCATGTTAGGTTCGGCGGAAGCCTTGATGGGTTGAGTATTCGTCCTTAATAATGACCCGTGTTTTCAAACGCATTCAAGTCTCGTGTTAGTGATATCGATCGAAGGGTTCATTGCCAATTTGTTTGATTTAAAAAAATCTTAGCAATCCTTACTAAATGAGGAATTGCGCTGTTTTCCAGCAATAATTTCTCTCAGGCCCAGTACTTATTGCCTCGGGATATTCCCCCAGTATCCGCATAAATTCCTTATCATTAGAATTGCGATGATAAATCAGAACTTCACACTTCGATCGTCAGCCTCTTGCAGTCGCCACACTTGCGGTGGTCAACATCAACCTGACCTCTGGGTTGAATAAATTACATTGTGATCTTTTCACTTTCTGTTTACAATAACCGGATTTCTCGGTCTCAGCGTAGCGCTTGATCGGTTTCAGTTGATCAAGGTAATTGCATAGCATGTACCATAAGTAGCGTCACGCCTACCGTCAGCTTCCACCTTTCCCCACACGTATATTTTTGCGACTGAATTTCTTTAGTCCTCAACGAGGATCGTGCAAGTATAATAAAGATAAAGCCCTCGTAACAAAAAACAATTTTTATGATTTTGAAACGGACTTTTAATGGGATAGCTGCTGCTCCTTTTAGCAGACTTCGTTATTCCTAGTGGATTTATTTGTAGCCCAACCCTTTCCATGAGTGCCTTCTCATAACCACTGAATTATGTTTTAAAAGTTATTTGATTAACTTGGAACTTTCTGTCTATGGCATAATTGGACAATCTCGTCACTTTCTTCCTCCCAAAGCGCCAAATAGATAAATGTTTTGAGCTTACCAGTGCTCAGCTATAGCAGTCCGATTGCACTAATCAATGCGGTTCACATTTCAGTGGGTCTTCTAAATAGTCTTACACCGAATGGCAACTTGTGATATGTCAAATGCTCGTCCGATCGGGTCTGCAGTGGTCCCTAGCAGCCACTTGGAACCCACCATC